TACGGATGTCGATTCTAAGATCAAGAGTATGTTGAAATTATATGCTCAAGTGCGTGCAAGAATTGAGAAAGTAAATGACATGTATAAGGCAAGAGCAAACAAGCATAGAAAGCAACAAAGTTACAATGTTGGAGACTTGGTTTGGTTACATTTGAGAGAGGAAAGATTTCCAAGAAAACGCAAGAATAAGCTAATGCCTAGAAGTGAAGGTCCTTTCAAGATTGTTGAGAAGATCAATGAAAATTCTTATAAGTTAGAACTTCAAGATTTGAGCATAAATTCTTTCGGAGAAGAGGAGGATGATGCAAGTCTAAGCATGGAGAACTTCGAAGAAATGCTTATTATGCATCAAGATACCTTGTCTCTAAACATTGATTCAAGTCAAGCATTGCATGGACACTTACTTGGATACCGAAGCAAAGCTACGGTTTGATTGGTTGCGTTTCTTAGAGTCTAAACTATTTTCATTAATTTTCTTTACTTAGATTTTGCTTACTAGTTTTAACCTTTCACTTGAAAGGGTTTTTCTTGGTTCAAGCATTAGGATCTTTAAGCTTTTAATTAGTTTCTTTAAATTAGAAAGTAGTTAGTTTAGTTTTCTTTGACTAGTTAGTTAGCTGATTTAGGCGTGTGGTCTTGCTTGGTGAACAAGCTTGGTAAGGTTTGAAATCTTATCCAAGGGTTTGTTAGAGTTCTAGTTAGATTAGATAAGTAATCAAATTCTATCTTATTTGATTAGTTATGTATACCGTGTGATAAGCGTGTTGCGTACCTATCAAAAATAACCTAACAGACCAATACTAATGTAGACTGGCAAGCAAGGGACGGATCCCAAGAGACTAAGGTTCAGAAATAATTAAATAGACTCGAATTTCTACTAAGCAAGAATCAATTATAATCAATTATCTACGGAACTAAGTATGAGAAGAATTCGAAAATAAACTAAATGAGATGATTAAATCAAGTACTTAAAACATCCAAGATCTAGTTTCACCACAATTATTAACAATGCAATTGTAATTCTACCCTTAACATACGATTTCAATAGAACGGGGAAAAGTAAAACCCTAATAAATACCAAGGATCTCTCTCGAGTATCAATGGCTTCCCTAACATACAATCAAGCCTATTCTCATGGTATCATGCATATTAGAGACATTAAACACATTACTCTCACTTCCCAATTATCAAAACCAACTACTATCGTGTTGAGAATCAAACCCTAAATAGATTTACTCAAATCCGTTTATACCCAACTCTCGCTGTGATAAAAACAATGGAATAATCGCAATATTATAGTTACGTCTAACTTAGCATTGGCATAATCACAATCAATTTAGCAATTCAATTGTTAAAGTTATTAAAGAATTTAAAGATTTAATTCATGCATCAATAATAATAGGGGTACACTAGATCTTGAATTAAAGAATCTACTCCCACATGATTAATGAAACAAAAACAATAATAAATAATGAAAACATAATTAAATAACAATGGATGAAAAAATAAATATCGAATCTTGAATAAAATTGAAAGTAGAAAGTTTGAATCTTGAATTACAAAAACTTAGAAAATAATAATGGAGAACTAGTTCTTAAGGAGAGAAAAAAAATAAAAACAAGACTTATTTAATGAATAATTCGCCAAGAAGAACAAACTAAAGAATATATATAAGCCTAAAAAGATAAGAAAAATCGGCTAAGCTTGGCGCACAAGATCCCCAAGAGGCACGGACGTGCCTCTCTATAGGCACGGACGTGCCTCTATACGTAGCATAATTGTTGCAGCTTCTGTCTTCCAGGAACGGACGTGCCTGGCTGCTCTGATGGGCACGGACGTGCCCACCTGCTAGGCACGGACATGCCCACCTGCTAGGCACGGACGTGCCCACCTGCTAGGCACGGACGTGCCTAGGTTCGAAACAAAGGGTGCTGCATATGGCTTGGAGGCACGGACGTGCCTCAGAGTCGGCACGGCCGTGCCTAGCTCTAAAATTCCCTATTTTGCGTTTTCTTCAATCATCAAGCTTCATGGGCCTCGGCTTTACTATCATGGCTTCGTAAAGGATCCAAATTAGTTCTATTACTCATGAAATTCATCAAAAACAACACAACTACCCATACAAGCATAGAATTATCCAAACTAAAGCAAAACACGCCAAAACGGACTCAAATACTCAACTAAACTAACAAAACTAACTAAAATAAGCCAAATAATATACACAAAACACGACATATCAAACTCCCCCAAGCTAAACTAATGCTTGTCCTCAAGCATTAAACCATGAATCACAAGGGAAGAGAATGATAACTCCTCAAACAATCACAATGTGCCATTAAGTTCAAAACCACGATAAAAACGAAATCAAGAGTCAACATCTGCAAAAACCACCATTCATCTCATATACTTGGACTTGACAACCAATCTTACCACACATCTCCCCATACCTACTCACACAAACATGAATAGTTCTCACTTTAGTTGTGAAAAATAAAAACAATAACGCTCATGTGTTTTCGGGGTGAAATATGAAGCCCTTCAACCTAAGCATAGCATGCATATCAACTTCACACAACCGGCCTCTTTAGGCTTGCAATGTGACTTTCTCCACTTTTAGTGATTAATGCAAACATGGAAATCTTGAAATCCATATTAGGTAACCTCGGTAAATAAGGGTTAGACGACGTATTTTGGGAATGTGGTGCTCAAAATAAAACAAATCCTAATCCCACTACACATTCCAATGTCGGGTTCAATCCAACCTTATTTCCTCCAACTCCATACAATTATAAACATAGCCCTTTATTCTTTCCTTCCTTTTTTTTTCACACAAAGAAGAAGGGATTAAAAAAAAATGGAAGACTTCTCTATTTTTTTCAAGGGCCTTTAAGACCATATTTCTTTTCTTCCTTTTTTTTTCTTTTCTTTCTCATAATCTCCCTTCTTTTCTCTTTGTTATTTATTACTTTTTTTTCTCTTTTTTTTTTCATTTTTTCCTTTTCTTTTTCGTTTTTTCAACATCATTCACACTCATAGGGCTTAACAAATGAAAAACACCTTCAAAATAAACTTAGAAAAATAGCTCTAAAGCTTTAAATGTAGGGTATCAAGAAGGGGTAAATATGGCTCAAATTGGTTAAACCTACAGGTGAATGTAAAATAAAAATAAATAAAAACAAAAAGAAAAAACATGAAGGCCTAAAATGTGGAGGCTCTAATTTCTACAAAGAAATTTCAATAATCTTTTCGCGACATGCATCATAAAGTCTCAAATAGTCAAAAAGTAAGACCAAGAATTCAATTACATGAAGGACAATCTAATCACACAAGAAGAAACATGACTGAGGTAGAGTGAAATCAGTCAAATGAGGCTCAAGACTCTCACCGGGTACACAAACTATTCACATAAGTAGAGCGGGGAGACCATCCTGGCCACAACCTAGCTCAATTCCTAGCACATCAATGAATGGGTTTTCAAAAACTCTTTTTTTTTTTTCAAAAACCACACATATGTGATTATAATCATAGAAGCATAGTCATGCAATGACATATTATTCGACACTAGAAAGAAATAAACTACCCAAAAAACTGAAAGAAAACTAGTATATACATGGTGAAAAGAAAGTCCTCCCCCAAGCTAAACCATACATTGTCCTCAATGTATGCATAAATCAAAGCAAATAAACAAGGGGAAGGGGAAAGAAAACTACTGATCAGAAGGGGTGGGAAAAACCATACCTCGGGACGGTGTTAGGACCGCCCTGAAAGTGCTGTCTCATCATGCCCCCGATGTCATAGAACTCGGCATGGAAGGCGGCCTGGGACATCCGTGCCTTATTATAGGGGAAGGCACGAAATTGCACTCCTTGACTCTCTGCCCCATCTGCAGATTTTATTTATTTTTTATTTTTTTAAAAATAAAAGTAATTAAAAAAACTGGGAAACGGAAAACCTGAGGCACGGACATGCCTAATGGGGGGGGGGGCACGGACGTGCCTCTCTAGAAATTCAACCCCCCAAACATTCTGCCTCAGAGGCACGAACGTGCCTCCTCAGGGGCACGGACGTGCCTCTGTAGATTTTGATTTTTTTCTCCTTTTTCCTTCTTCTTAGCGATTTTCCTCCTTCTTTCTTCTTCCTTTTGCTTACTTTTCACCTAATTTAACATCACGAACAAAAAAAAAACTAGACATAAGAATAAAAAAATAAAAAAAAGAAGATAAATAATGAAATTAAAGAAGAAAAATTAACGAAATAAGAGTAAGAACTCGAGAATGGGTTGCATCCCATTAGTGCTTGTTTAAAAGGTCTTTAGCTCGACCTCCCTTGTTGGATCAACCGGGATCATTACACGGAGAAGGAGGACCGCAATGTTGTTCATGAATTCCTCCAAGCGACTCCTTCATCGGCTTATTCACTTGCCTTATAACCGAATTCACCTTCACATAGACAAGCATGCCATCGGGTGGAACGTTATCCTTCACTTTCACGAAATTCCTGTCAAACACATACCTATCAATCGGGGGGTTAGTAGCATCGATTCTCAAACAGGTACCACCATCGAACGTAGAGTTATGCCCATCAAGCACGGCTTTTGACAACCGTTGCGAGAAGGGCATCAGTTCATCATTGGCCGGTGAAGCTACATATTTGGAGCCTTGAACATCTTTGCTCCTTACGTCCTTTCTAGGCTCCTAGATACACACCTTCTCAACAATTTGCTTCGGAAATAGTTCATCTCTTCTCAGGAAGATAGGATTGCATTGTTCTTTCTAAACCTTCGCTTGCTCTTGAAGAGTCGATAGGCGGTTTACCTATTGCGAAAGTTGGCTTATCTGATAAATAGTGTCTCCCGTAGAGGGAGCACCCATGACATTCAAAAGTGAGTATTCCATCTTTTCATCACCTACTTCAAAATTGATCTTACCTTTCTTCATGTCTATGATTGCACCTGCAGTAGCTAGGAAAGGTCTACCAAGTATGATCGGAACATTCACATCTTATTCCATCTCCATCACAACAAAATCACATGGAATGAAAAATTTACCTACTCTGAGGGGTACATCTTCAAGTACACCCAAAGGAAACTTCACGGACCTGTCTGCAAGTTGTAGAGATATTCGTGTAGGTTTAAGCTCACCCATCTGTAGCTTCTTGCATATGGACAGCAGCATAAGGCTCACACTTGCACCTAGATCGCATAGTGCCCTATTGATCTTAATATCTCCAAGCTTCACTGGTATTGAATAGCTACCTGGATCTCCTAATTTCTTAGGGAGAGTGTTCTGCAAAATAGCACTACACTCTGCATTAAAAGCAACTGTAGTATTCTCTTCTAATTTCCTCTTGTTAGATAGCATATCTTTTAAAAATTTTGCATAAGAAGGCATCTCAGATATGGCATCTAGGAATGGAATATTAATATGAAGCTTTTTAAGAATATCGAGGAACTTACTGAAATTTTTCTCAAGTTTAGCTTGTGCTAACCTTTGAGGAAAAGGAATCTTGGGCACATATGGAGCAAGTGGCTTTGGTGGTGGTTCCCTTGATGCCTCCTCAACCCTAGCATCTTCTAATTCCTTCTCACTTGCCTCTGCTTCTTCATTGACCTCCCTTGATGGCTCCATGGTAGGAGGATCGTCCAACTGCATTCTACTCCTCAGGGCTACAAAATTCATTTGGGCTCTTTGAGGTTGTTCTGTCTGGCCCGGGAAGGTTCCTGGAGTCTTTACAGCTTGGTAAATTGGTTGGCCAATTGGCTTATTCGATTCTCCATAAGTTTACCCTGGGCCTGCAACTATTGGATAGAGCTATTTTGATGTTGGATTGCACTGTTTGTTGCGGTTATGAAGCTCTCTAAAGTCACCTTTAGGCTTGATTTATGAGGTTGTGGTTGCATAGGTTGTTGGGCATTAGGTGGGTTCTGTTGGAAGCCTGGTGGTGGTTGGTTGTAGGTATTGGGTTGAGGTGGTGGTGGAGGGTTTTGTTGCGCTTGGGAGTTTTTGTACGAAAAGTGGGGATGGTGTTTCCATCCTTCATTGTAGGTGTTGGAATAAGGGTCATAAGGCCTCTTTGGGTTAGAGGAGTAGAAAGCATTGGTTTGCTCGTATGACATTTTTTCCGCATTCTGCGAAATCTGTGGGCAATCTGGAGCAACATGACCCTGCACATGACATAACTGACACAATTCCTGTGGGGTGTTAGAAGTTCCTGCTTGGAACTTATCAAACCTGCTTGTTAGTGCCTGCACAGAACTAGTTAGCATAGTTAAAGCATCAACATCAAGTTTACCTCCTTTTTTCACAGTATAGTGGTAAGTATTCCCGCCTGTCACGCGGGTGACCCGGGCTTAGACACCACATTTTGACAAGCGTTAAATTGGTCGCACAATATAACTCTTAATCAAACAATATTTATACGAACACCCTATAACCAGTACAATGGAAAATAAAGGTTCGATCCACGAAGAACGGGAGTAATTGCAAATCAATCTTAAAACCTAAGCTAGTACGAAGTCAAATGAGAGATGGTGTTCTAAATAACTACTAATGAGATGAATAAATCAATAAACAAAAACTCTAGGGAGAACGGGAATCCGCCTAACCATTGGTAATTAAGCAATAAGGAATCATAGAGACAAACTGGATATGCAAAGACTATAAGTCTGATCAATATCATGTGATAGGAAGACAAAGGGCAATACTAAGCTTGGATTTCTCATGCACTTAACATTACTCGATACATAATCAAACCACATTCAATAATGAAATACTCAATTCACAATCTCTTGTTCAAACAAAGAATAACATGCAATCAAATTCAAGACTCTAGGTTAGCTACTCCTATTATAATGAATTAACATGCAATCGCATATAATCTGTTTAATCACAATCCGTTTATCAAAACCAATCCTCAATTACATAAATTACCTAGGCCGGGTTTCATCCCGAAACCCTAGTTAGGGAACTACTCACACATATTCATGATCAAAGCAACAATAAATTCTAAAGGCATAATAAATATAAACATGAATTCTAATCAAGGATAATAAAGCTTTGAATAATAAATAGGAGCGAATAATACCGATAAATCGATGTGAATCAATGCAAAAGATTGGAACTTTGATATCCGATGTCAATGAATAATACAAAGAATCCCAATTAATCTTGCCTAGAATAAAATCCGAAAAACTAGAGTATCTCGAATCTGATTAACTATGAATTTGCTAGAATAAAATCTAAGAAAACTATGGAACCTTAACTACGGAAGTACTCTCAATATCTCTCTAAAAATCTGTCTCTCTTAACCCTTGCAATCGGGCTATATATATGTGTTTTAAATCAGAAAGTAAATCGCAGGCTGCCCTTCGTAAATCAGCACGGTCGTGCTAAAAGTGGCACGGCCGTGCAGGCATGTCAGGGAACCATCGAACTTTTCTTGGACTTCAGCACGGTCATGCTGCTTTTGGCTCAGTTGTGCTGCGAGTTTGGCACGGGCGTGCCAGATATGGCACGGCCGTGCTGTTCTGATCTAGCATGGGCATGCAGGCTGGATTGGCACAGTCGTGCTGGACTGATTGGCATTGGCGTGCCGAAAGTGGCACGGCCGTGCTGGCACATGGAAGATGGCACGGACGTGCTGCACTCTACACGGCCATGCAGCATAGGCGGTGAAGTTGAGGGCAATCTGGCACGGGCGTGCCAGATGTGGCACGGCGGTGCTGCTTGTGCAACTTATGCTGATTCTTGCAACGTCCTTAGTTTGCTGAACTATGACCAAAGTTGGCTCGATCACGCACCAACGGCTCGGGACCCGACTAAACTCGGTCAATTATACCTAAAAACACACCAAAAACAATCCGAAACCCGTGAAACACGTAATATAAGGGATATAAGCATAACAAGGCAATAAACGACCAAAACGGTCCTAAATACGACCAAAATCCTCCAATTATATGCCCTAAAGCGCGCCCTAAAGTGCGCTTGTTAAAACCCCCCAAGCTACACTTTTGCTAGTCCTCGAGCAAAACTAAGGGATAAACAAACACAAGATCGGATAGACTATTGCCCTTGCATATACATCAAGTTTTAAGCGTGAAATAACGTCAATGGATCCTACTTAAAATAATCATGCATGGAATAAAAAGCTCATTCAAACAAGCAACGAGACGCACAATCCAAGGTATTGTTGATCAAAATGTGAACAAGGCCTAGACTAAGCATAGAGAACAAAGGAATCATGCTTCCCTCTAAACCCAATCAAAACAGCCGCCACGTCCTCCCCGTTTGCTTCAAATCACCACCCTGATTAGCTCCTTGTGATTCCTCGAAGGAACCGGAAAAAGTGATATTTTTTAGGAAATAATAAAGGTATCCCGACATCTCAATTACACATAATCTTTCCATAGGGTTGAAAAATATCTCCCTCCACCGTTTGAGAAACGAACACCACTAAAGTTTAAGGGTCTTAGAAAAGGTTGTAATGTATTGGCAAAGGGTAAGGTAGGTGAAAACAATTTAAAATGTGGAGTTAAATCCTAAATGAAGCGCAAGAATCACGATTCTCAAAAACTACGCTCAAGAGATGCAATTCACATTCCACAATAAATATTAATTCACACTTTTACACATCACCAACTCTCTACGTTAGACACACTCGAACGACCTTTTTCAAAATTTAAAACTTTTGTTTGAATGTTTTCGCCTTTTTCACAATTCGGACGACTTTTTTTTTCTTTATTTTTTTACTACTCTTTTTTTTTCCTTTTTTTATAATTTTTTACTCAAACAAACTTTCATATTACATCTTTACAATTAAGCTCACTTTCAAACTTTCTCAAACCAACTATCGATCATAATTATTGATTAATAAACAATAGGCTTAAACAAACCAAGCAAGGTAAACGCTTTACAACCTAAGGGTTGGTCAAACATCGGCCATCGGGTTTGTAACATGGGTAACCAAGAATGGAGATAGAGGCTCAACCTGGTTAGCAAGTAGGATGATGTAAAAAGAAAATTAATTTGTAACAAAACAAAAGGAACAAAAATAAGAAAAATGAAAAAGGTGCCCTCTTCCTCCTTTAAAAGTGTCAAGTCGGTCTCAGGAGCTACAAGTCAACACAAAGATCGAAACATGCGTAATCAAGGATCCAAATATGCCGCTCAAAAAGAATGATGAAGGCTAGAACAAAACAACTACCAATCAAGGGGATCAAATCCAAAAAGGGAAGCGACTCCATCTTACCACAATTCAATGGCTTAGAGTTTCACATGATAACAAACGTTCTAACCAACTACCTTCGCCTAGACTCGTCTACATTGATTAAAAATAGACTCAAACTGCGTATTCGTCACTAGCTTAAGTAGAAATAGACATTCCACACACATTCATTCACGTTTCAAATCCAAATATGGGCATTATTCCAAACGTTTTTGCAAATAGGCAAGTTTATCACGATCCAAAAATATAGGAAAAGACTGTGAGGCAAATCATATAAACTAGACTACACATCCTCATAACAGAAGCTTTTCCTATATTGCACACATATATACACAACTAAGTAAACTAAACAAGCTAAAAGGCTCATAAAGAGGCATGAAAATCACATAATAATCCCAATCGACAAACAAGTGATCAATTGATATCAACATCAATGATCCTAGGTTCCTTAGAACCGATCAAACATCCTCGAACCATTCAACTTCTTCCTAAACTAAACTATCCTAAGCACACAAAGAGAAAAAGGAAAAGATCTCACCAAATTTGCCTCCCGGGAGCTCCAATTAGCGGCCATAAACTAGTTCTGCATAATCATGCCTTTTCTCAAACGATCCCAAGCTGCAAAAAGAAGAGACATACTAACAAACGAATTAAGACTAGTCCTAAGAAAGTAGTAAATCTTTTTTTTTTTTTTTTGTAATAAGAAAAAAAAAAGCAATTAAAGACTAGACTACCAAAATTCCAAACCCCTCAACAACAAACACAAGTAAGACCCCCCCCAAGCTAGAATCAAACATTGTCCTCAATGTTTACACATCAAGGACTTACAAAGGTGGGGAAAGGGGTAAAGAAAGCAAGGTTGGATCAAGAACTGGGGCCGCCCGGGTCACGAGGCAGGCGGGTGGCCATTCTGTCGACACTCTCCCTCAATGCGTTGAAGGCGGCGACCATATCCGAGTTTGTCAATCTCAAACCCGCCACCTCGTTCCGCAAATCATCTAAACCTTGGCGGATCGAGGCATAGTCCTGTGCTGGGATCCGTTGGGCCTCATCTGGGCTGTCATCATCATCATCATCACCATCTTGGCCTTCGTGGGCCTGCTCATCTCCAGGCTGAGGTTGAGGATCACGGTCAACGTACTCAGTATTACCATCCTCATGCCAAATGAAATCTAGGTCAAAGATCCAGTATTACACATTCATTCACGTTTCAAATCCAAATATGGGCATTATTCCAAACGTTTTTGCAAATAGGCAAGTTTATCACGATCCAAAAATATAGGAAAAGACTGTGAGGAAAATCATATAAACTAGACTACACATCCTCATAACAGAAGCTTTTCCTATATTGCACACATATATACACAACTAAGTAAACTAAACAAGCTAAAAGGCTCATAAAGAGGCATGAAAATCACATAATAATCCC